TTTTTGGAAAATTGTTAAGGGCAGATCTAGGCAAAACTTTTTTTTTTTTTTTTTTTTTTTGCATTAGAAATGGCTACATCTGACAAGCAAGGAAAGAATTGCATCTAGCTGCTTTCCACATAAAAATAGCTTCATCAGCTCTGTGTTGTTTCTGATTTGCCAACAGAGACTGTCATCTATGTAGTGGCCTGTTGCTTATTCCAACAGTCCATATTGGTATTAGGAAAGTTCTGGAGCACAAACCATCATAGGCATGTTGGATTTTCCTCCCTCACAGCCCTCCTTTTTGGCCCTCAGCTATTTCCTGGCCCGTGCTGACTCTAACCTTCATACTAAAGGCTTTTCCAACCTTTAGTAGCTTAGTCTCTTTCACAGGGTGGTCTTTAGCCACCGCTCAAATCCATTCAGGTACTTTTTGCAGCTAATGTGATTGTATTTCCCTAGTTCTGTGCATACAAGTTTCACTCAGGTTGCCACACTTAGGTATTATCTGGCACCTCCAGGACACCGGAGATGCCTACAGAGCCTAGAACATATCACAGAATTATGGAATAGCTGAGTTCAGAAGGGATCTCTGGAGATCACTTTGTCTAACCTACTCAAGGACATCACCTAAAGGACATTGCCCGAGACCCTGTCCAGATGGCTTTTGAATATCTCCAAGGATGGGGACCCTCTGGAAATCCTATTCCACGTCTTAGCTGCCGTCACAGTAAAGGTTTTCCTCATGTTTTGATGGAACTTTCCGTGATTCAGTATGTGCCATTGCCTCTCATCCTTTTGCTGGGCACCACTGAAAGAATCTGGCCCCAACTTCTTTACACCCTTCCTTCGGTTATTTATACACATTGGTAAGATCCCCCTCAGTCTTCTCCTCTCCAGGCTGAACAGTCCCAGGTCTCCCAGCCTTTCATTGCAGAAGTGATGCTCCACTCCCTTAAACGTCTTAGTGGCCCTTCATTGGGCTACTACTATAGATAAACAGGGCATATGGTAGATCTATGCTGTTTGGGAGTGGAAGGCAAAGGCCATGTCTGTAGGACTAGACATCCACATTTAGTGGGCTAAAGGGAGTCTTGCACTCTGATTACCATCACTGATATTAAAAGCAATCTGGACAGACTTGAGAGAGGTTCACCTTGTCTGAAAATAGTCATGACCAACCTCATTAAACCAAAGTTTGTTGTTGTTGTTGTTTTGGTTTTGGGTTTTTTTTTGTCAATCAAGAGACCCTGGTGTACACAGAGTGTGACTGTACTACGGTCTTTGGGCAACATGACACAATGTCTTAACACTACTTGGGTGTCTCCAGGTCTGCTTGCACTGTCAAGTGATGAGTGTGGGTGGACAGAGGGAACATGGTCACACTGTGTATTGGAGATGGAAATTTCTATGATCTGTAGAGTCATGTAAATCTCCCATGGGAAGCAGAGGCCAGACCTTGAGAAAGAAGATGTTTGCCTGCCTAGGCTGAAGTTTGTCCACCCCCCGGCCTGCCTCCCGGGTCGGATTGACCCTGCGTGCCAGGATGCACCGGGCATAGAGAGGACAGTGCAGAGAGAGTAGTTTGAGGAGCAACTCCAAGCCCTAAGGCCTACACTGTCTCCACAGGAGCCTTCAGCAACTCTCTTTCTGATCTACCAGCTCAAGAGGATGTTTGGGTCTAGTATCCCACCGGTAGGTATCACCTCATGAATAGTTATCCATACTTTGCTTCTTTTATGTGCTTTCACCTGAATAAATGCTCGATGTAGTCACCTCATTCTGGCATGATTATTGCCAAATCCCGAGTGCATCCGGAACACCCTAGCACAGCCAGGACTGCCTTGACTTGAATCTCCTGGGGTGTCTTTGCAGAATCCCCTTCAAGAGGGTCTGCATATTGCTGGGGAAGATCTCACCATTTTCTGCCCCATCTCTGCTTCAGAACCGGCTGTTCCCGGCTGTGTTTGCTCAACATATTCCTGGAACAGTTCTACATTTCGCAACTCTATGATAAAATCAAGCCATGGCACGGAGCAGAGAGTCACTTTCTGGAATGGTTTCAAATAAGGACAAGTCCCTGTCATGGGGGTCAGGGGAGTGGTGCAGAGGAAGAGGAGGGTTTACCACAGAGGAGAGGGCAGGGGAAGGGTCAGCGTAGGGAGGGGACAACGCAGGAGGAGGGCTTACTGCAGAAATGCATGTCACTTCCCTCTCTAGTGCTCTGCCCCGTTCCCAATCCTCCCAATCTGCCAGCAGGACACAACATTCCGCTGGTGTCTCTTACAAGGATGATCAAGTCCAACCTCCATCCCATGTTGAAATTGTGAGCATGGGGATTCCAGGCCGTCTCCATCGCTCATCCAGGTACTACTGGGGCAGAGACCAGCCCATCTGCACTAGGGCCAAGAGTGCAGGGATCCTCCTGCTGATGACATGTCTTTGGGGTGAGTGGTGTTTGCCTTTGTTTCTGGCTACTGGGAGTCTACCCACAACATGTAGTTTTCTAGATAGCACTCCATGGAGCACAGCACAAACTGCTCTGGGGTTCTGTGTTTCATTTACAGGCCTGGGATAGGGAAGAAAAGCTTGTGAGGGTATTGGAGAAAAGAGGAAAGTTGTTGTGTGGAGTTGGGAATTGGGCTATCTGCATGGGTTACATTCTTAAAGCCATGTGATGCTCACTTATTTCTGAACTCATTTTGCCACGTAGTTAAAGAACATAAACTTGTGAGCATTACACGAGTAGAAGGAAGCATGCCCATCATCGTGAAGCTACATCACAGCTGGCCACAGCCTCCTGCTCTGCATGTTCATCCAGGACTGTGCATGGCAAATTCGTGTTGCTGCAGCATGAAATAAGCCTGGCCAAATTCAATGCCACTGAGTCTTGGGTGAGACAGGCAGTTCCCCATCAGATGGTTGGATGAGCAAGTAGGGATAGAGCATCCCACTTAGGACAAGACTGGGTACATTCAGTTAGGCTGTTGCTAGTGCTGTGCAGCAGAAGAAGGAACCAAATAATTGTTGAGCTAATTAGGAAGAGAGAAAAAATGATGTTGAGAGCCATGACCTTTCTTGTGTGCAGGCAGAATGATAAGAAAATCACAGGTCCCTTATCCAATATGATGGTTCTGCAGCTGTGGTACTGTCTTAGAAATGAGAGCAATGAAGTGAATGAAGTGGAAGAGCTCTGCCATGAAAGTATTATCATGCAGAGGGTGCAATGGCAACTTACCTTTGGAAAAGACCGAAAAAAGGGCTCAGGGTTTTGTCCAGACTTCAACATTTCAGAGAAGAATCAGTTATTTGATCTGGGCACCTTCTTGGTGATGTTTTATGTTTGCAAGCAATGAGCATGAAGTTCCTGTCTTCTGATTACATTTGGAGCAAGTGAAATTAAGAAGTTAATTTCCCTGATTTGATTGTTGGTATTGACATTCTTTTAATTTCCAGGCTGATTTCTGCTAAGGCCAGTTTGTACCCCTTCCCTTAGGATTAACACTTTCCTTTAATTTTCTTTGGATTTCTTCTTCTATGATCTATTAAAAACTTCCCACTTTTCTGAAAATCCTGCTCCAAGGACTTTCAGTATGATGATTATATCTTCAGTAGCTACAACCTGCTTGGAGTCATCTGTTTTGGGACTTGTTCAACAAACACAGGCATTTGGTGAATGTGAGGTGTCCCAGGGCTGTCAAGAAATCTCATTTCATGCTCTCCTGCCAAGGCATTGCTTGCAAAAAACGTCCAAGAAATGTATCAGCTCTGCTAAGTTGCGGTTCTGAGGTTAACTTGTTATTGCTGAAGAGATGGAAACCTCAGCGTTTCCAACAAAAATGAGGAAGGAAAAATGAGTAAAGGGCCCAAAGAGAAAGGACTAGAGGCTGTAATCAGGACTGCTTTTAGCCTGGAGAGAGGAGAGATGGCAAACTCCAAGTACCCAAAATAAATCTGGTTCAGTCTCATCTTGAAAATGAATTTCCAGGAATGGCTTTGCAAAGACACTTTCCTGGTGATAATCTGGTCCCCAATAGATACTCTGGTCCCCTCTGAAAAAAGCCGAACTACACAAGCCTGAATGCAGAGAGATTCTCCCCTTTAGCCAGGCTGTTGATCCCCAGATCCTGTCTGTATCCGAAACCAGAGTTTGTTTTTTAAAATGTTTCTTTTTTTCAAGCTCCTATGATTTCCATGCTGCATCTGAGCCCATACTTACTGAGTCTGTGAAGTACTTACAGCTTACTAGACTTGGGCATCAATCAGATCTTCACTGAAGGTCATAACTCAGGTGTGCAATATTCATCCAGTGGAGAGTGAGCGCATCTCTAGAAGGCAGGTGTCATTTTAGGTGGACATCATTGCCCACTGCTTTGCATTATTGTAAAAGGAGACCAAGAGCAGGAGGTATTTCACTGATGCAGGTTTGGAGAATGGGGCTCCTGGTTTAGGAAATGAGCAGACATCTGGTCCTGATGCAATTTGTGACTCAGCAGTACAGCAGGTAGGAGGAGCAGCAAAACAGTGTTTGATCTGAGCACAGATCTTTGATCTGAGCACTTTGGAAATCGTTATCCATGGTCAGAAAGTTATTTACACAGTGCTGTCACATTGCTTCCTGAACATTTTTTTCAAGCTGAACCATAAAATCTCTCTCTGTTACCAACTTCCAGTTTACTTATGGCTTCTTTCTGCACACCCTATGTTTCGTTAGTACTTTTGCAAAGTGTTAGTACTTTTGCAAAGGCATTATTACAGCGTGAGTCTTGCAAACTGCAAAAACCTTCCCCTAGTCCTAGCACATTCTCACATTCTCCCTACAAGTCCTTTTTGCAGCTGTACCACATAGCAATATTATGTTGCGTTCTCTCTTGGTGATGAACCTATGTCTCTTATATTATTAATCCTAATTGTTTATAAGTACCTACTAAGTGAGCAAGAAAAGGACTACTTAAGTGGGATGGTGACTGCGGTTAAGATGATTTAAATTAAGACATGCAGAGATAGGACTCCTTTGCCTAAAAACAGACACCCAGGTCCATATGAGATGCCTTGGGGTATCTGAGGAATCATAGAATCATAGAATGCTTAAGGTTGGAAGGGACCTCTAGAGGTCATCTAGTCCAACCCCCCATTCAGATGTTCAGAGCATCTCCAAAGCCCTTTCAAACAACAGGAGACATCTCAAATGTGTGAGCAGCTGAGATCTTTCCCAGGATTCATCTCCCAGCCTCCATTGGTTTCCTATGTCTCTTTCAGGCTTGGCAAGCTCATCTTCTCCCCACGTGGTTGACGTTCGCCTGGTGAACGGCCCCAGCCACTGCGCCGGGCGAGTCGAGGTGTTCTACAAGGCGACGTGGGGGACGGTGTGCGACGACAACTGGGGGTTGTCGGAGGGGCAGGTGGTGTGCAGGCAGCTGGGATGCGGCGCGCTGGTGTCCATCTCGCACGGGGCCCGCTACGGAGAAGGCACGGGTCGGATCTGGCTGGACGAGGTGAACTGCACGGGGGCAGAAGCCGCCCTCTCCCAATGCGAGGTCAAGTCATGGGGAGAGCACAACTGTCAGCACGCGGAAGACGCCAGCGTGGAGTGTGCAGGTAATCACGATAGCCCCATGCAGGATGAGCAGCACCTCCATCCCTGTTTCCCTTCCTGCTCCATGCTTTCCACAGCTTCCCTCTGACTTTTCCCATCGCGATGTTTGCAGACTCGGGCATTTCAGAGCTGGGCCCCCTCCAACTGCTGGACGGCCCCAATCGCTGCGCGGGGAGAGTGGAGGTGCTGCATAACCACCTGTGGGGCACCATTTGCGACGACAACTGGGACCTCGCGGATGCCACCGTGGTGTGCAGGCAGCTGGGCTGCGGGACCGCGCTTTCGGCCACGATCGGGGCTCACTTTGGCAGAGGCAATCACAAAATCTGGCTGGATGAGGTGAACTGCACTGGCACAGAGGCCTCCCTCTTTGAATGCCAGGCCAGTGCTTGGGGAGAAAACAATTGCTTCCATGGAGAGGATGCTGGAGTTATATGTTCAGGTAATTCCCAGGTAGATCTTTCACTGCAAAGGGTTGCAATTCCAGGGAAGGAAGGCTTCTAGGGTCGTGCTTGTAAGGGGGCTTGGGAAAGAGCAGGTCAGGTTGCACATCTTCTGGGGTATGTCTCTTCGGAAAGCTTCTGGTCTGCAGCGTTCCCTTGCAGTGCGGAGGAAGCGTGCAGGGAAGAAGGTTACCATAAAAACCCTTCTTCCACCTCCCTGCTTGGATTCCAGGGTTAAACCACAACTGACCTGTCTGAGCCTCCTCTCCTGCTAGATTCAATGGCCATTTGCACCCTGGAATCCTTCATGAGTTGCAAGACACCTAAACCAAGCTCTGTGATCCGTTTCCCACCGGAACAATTAGCCAGCAACATGTAAAGTTTTCTACAAGTGTAACCCCCCTTCTCACTTTCCTGGTATGCAGCCAGGCTGGGTTTCCCCTCCCATATCGGCAGAGTTTTCATTCCAGGGGCGCTGAAGTTTCGATGTTCTGAAGAAGTTTTAGGTGCATGGTCATTGCGCATGCATAAACCCATCGGCCTGGAGCAGAATATTCCCCGCATCTCCAGGGACACAGGTCATGCAGGGTGTTTATTCTCGCTTGTTGTTTGCAGCCTCAGAGATGTTTGCCACAGCCGAGGTTCGTCTAGCGAATGGTTCGAATCACTGCAGTGGAAGGGTCGAGGTCTTTCACAATGACACGTGGGTAGCCGTATGCGATGACGACTGGGATTTTGCTGAAGCTCGAGTTGTGTGCAGGCAGCTGGGCTGTGGAACGGCGCTGGCAGCTTCACGCGGATCCCATTTTGGAGATGGATCTGGAGGAATGTGGCCGGACACTGTGAACTGCGTGGGCACAGAAACTGCCCTCACTGCATGCCAGAGGACACCTTGGGGAAACAACAGTTGTCATCATGGAACAGGGGCTGGTGTAGTGTGTTCAGGTAACCATCATGGGAATGATGGGGGGAAGTGATGTTTGTTTCATAATCTTGATTTTCTGTCTCTGCAGCAATGTTATGCAGGCAGCCCATACTATATGTTTTCTTTTTTTTCTTTTTTTTTTTTTTTTGACTGCATGAGTGTCTGAGGGATCTGTGATGGTCAGAGCAACTTTGGGGCATTCTTCTGAGGGGTCAGAGCTGATACCAAGGTTAAAATTTGATGTTTAGCAGCCTTGTTTTGCACAAGTCTCAGCTTTTGCCAGCAGGTACCATGGGGCTGCTGAGCTCACATGGTGTGTTGGACCTTTTCTACAGTAATTAATGACCCTGAAGCACTTCATTAACAGGCATCTCCCAAGGGCAATGTGCTCTGAACCTGAGGGGTCAGCCCCATTCTTCATTGCTGTGCCTAGACATGCTCTGTGGACCACTTAAACCCAAAGTCTTCTTAGTTGTATATAGCTGCTCTGTCTCTCCTATATTTTGTCTCTCCTACATTTTGCTCCATGTCAGAGGTACCAGGATGGTCAACTCATGCTGCATAGACCATATAGGTGTAATAGCGTGCCAAACTTTCCCTGAGTTTTCTTAACTCCAGGTGACAGTTGGATCCGACTAGTGAATCACGCAAGTCGCTGTGCCGGCAGAGTTGAAGTGTTTTATAACGATCAGTGGGGAACCGTGTGTGATGATGGCTGGGATCTACTGGATGCTCGCATCGTATGCAGGCAGCTGGACTGTGGGACAGCGCTCTCAGCCCCAGGAGATGCCCAGTTTGGGCGAGGGAATAGCGTAATTTGGCTGGACGAGACAAACTGCACGGGATTTGAGTCCACTCTGACTGAGTGCAAGGCAAAACCATGGGGAGAAAATAACTGCTACCACGGGGAAGATGCTGGTGTGGTGTGCTCAGGTAATCCCTATTCCTTCCACACCTCTGTATGTGTGTCCTACAGAGCAAATTGGAGGGTTGATGGGTGGTGTCATGAGGACAGGTCTATATTCCATGAGGAAGTGAGTTCAGACCCAATTTTAGCTTCAGTTGTTGTGTTTTCCCTCTCTGTAGCTGTTGAATGGGAAGAGGTTCCTTCTGAGGGTAGATTCTCCTATATTAATTTGTATAAATAAGGTGTTGGGATGAAATTCTGCAGCAATCCCTCTCTCCATGAACTCTACAGGCTCACCACCAACAGTTAGATCAAGTTGTTAAGTGAACTCTGGTAAAAGGAATACGCTATGAGAGCCTTTCCTGCGTAGAGTGGGGCTGGGGTCTTGCAGAGGACAAGGTCACTGTAGGACCCATGCAGACCACCATCCTCTGGGCAGTGCTATGATGCCATATATTCCTAGGAGGAGTTTCAGGCTGTATTGAGATGTTCTGTTCTCACCTTTTCCCACTGTGACCTTTGGTGGACAAGAACCATTAATTCTAGGATAAGCATCAAAAGAAATCTGTAGCCATTTGAAGGGATTAGTAACTCTCTCCCTTTGTAGATGCCATCATTTCAGAGACTGCTCGACTCCGGTTGACAAATGGCTCAAACAGCTGTGCTGGCAGAGTCGAGGTGCTTCACAATGAGGAGTGGGGAGCTGTGTGTGACCATGGATGGGATAAACGTGATGCTGAGGTCGTGTGTCGGCAGCTGGGCTGTGGGACAGTGCTGTCCACCTCGAGCGAAGCTCACTTCGGTGCAGAACCTCTCCGCACCTGGCTGGACTACATGAGCTGCACAGGGTCAGAAACAGCCCTTAATAAATGCAGGGCAAGTCCATGGGGAAACAGTAGCTGCAGTCATGGAAAATACGCCACCGTGGTGTGTTCAGGTGAGTTTCAGTCCCTGGTAGTGTCACTCTTACCAAGAGTGGGTCAGGATGCGCTGACCACAATGCTGCAGCCAGTTCCAACTCCTCCATTCCAGTCGGTCATTAGGAGGGGAGCAAAGTGGTTCCTTTACTCCATTTACTGGTGGACTTAATACCCTGTGTCCATTTGAGAAGTTTCTTCATAGTGCTTTAAGGTTTTGTGGGTTCAGGAGCAATGCAGTTCTGATGTTCTGCACAGCATTGCTAGCTCTGCCTGCAAAGTGTGTCAAAATTAAGGTTCTTTATCCTATTGCACAGACTGGATGTGCAGGGATTGCTCTCGGTGTTTGTCTATTTGCAGGCTCGGAAGTTTCTAACATTGCTCCAGTCCGACTGGTAGACGGCCCAGGTCGCTGCGCTGGGAGAGTCGAGGTGCTTCATAACAAGAAGTGGGGGACTGTATGTGATGACAGCTGGGATTTCCTGGATGCCGCAGTGGTGTGCAGGCAGCTGGACTGCGGGGTGGTGATATCGGCTCCCTGGAGGGCTCACTTTGGGCACGGACAGGACCCCATCTGGCTGGACGAGGTGAACTGCACGGGGACAGAGGCTGCTCTCTCCGAATGTAAGGCCAAAGACTGGGGAGTCCATGGATGCGACCACGGAGAAGACGCCAGTGTGGTGTGCTCAGGTAACTGCCATTTGTCACTGAATCAGGAGCATCACGGCAAGCAAGGGCTGTTATTGCTGTGCTGCCAGTCCTCTTTCTTAGTCCTCTTAGCCTTAGGCTTTCTTAGGCTCTTTCTTAGGCTCTTTCTTAGGCTCAGACTTTCTTAGGCTCTTTCTTAGGCTCAGACTTGACTCTGCTTTTCCATATGGTTATAAACGCTTGTCGTGCAACACAGTTCTCAGCCAACGTGGGGACCGTTTTCTTTGAAAATAATCCCTCATATTCCACCATGGTGGAAATGAGCAGTGTATATACTTGTGCATTAAAGTACAAGAAAAAAAATGGCTTAAACATTTCCGTTGTTGCATTAACAGTATGGCACTCGACATGCCTTTGGACAGTGCTATTGTTTACCACAATTCCTAGCAGCTATTATGGATCACAGACCATTCCCACCACGCAGGTTAGTATGACCACCCACTTCTTCACAATAGGAAAAACAGTAGTATGAGGGAATGTTCTTTCATTAGGGTTGTTATCATGGCCAACCTGATGTGTTTGCTTTAAGAGAGACTAAATCACTCTATAAGATTATATAGTCATTGACTACAGTCCTACAAATACCATTCTAATCAGTATTCAGCCTTTTAAAGCCAGTTTGCATCACACTTCAGTAGACTTCCCTATTGTAGTAAGAACAACCTTGTCCAGCAGGCTACATAGACTTAAACCCATTGCCGATGGTCAAAGGTTTCAAAGAGTACAAGATATCTCCTTACACGCTTATGTTTGTGGTTGCAGGATCAGGTATTTCCGACCTAGCCCGTCTCCGCTTAGCGAACGGCTCAACCGAATGTTCAGGAAGGGTTGAAGTATTTCACGACCAGCGCTGGGGATCTGTGTGTGACGACGGCTGGAGCCTGACCGAAGCCCGCGTGGTGTGCAGGCAGCTGGGCTGTGGGCCAGCGCTCTCCGCCAACCGCCCTTCCCCTTCTGGAGACGAAGCTTCCCTGATATGGGTGGATGCCGTGGAGTGCACGGGGTCGGAAGCTGCCCTCTTCGAATGCAAAGTCAAGCTCTGGGGTGCCCAGAGCTGCAAATCTAAAGGATACGCGAGCGTTACGTGCTCTGCAGCTACACCTTCAACTGCAGGTCAGTGTCGATGAGTCTGGTGATACTCTATAAATTCACTCACCCAGTTCTGCCTTGTCCTGTCTCTCTAGACAGCCAAAAAGAACCTTTGCTGCCTTCTGTGGTCCCCCGCAGGGAAAATGTTTTCCTTTTAGATATAAGGAAGAAAACCTTGTGCTAAGGGAAGCACTTTTCCCATCAGCCGGCCTTGGCTATGGTGAGCGGCGAAGGGAAAGCAAAGTGTTCATGAATAATGGGATCTAAAGATCTCTGGAGATCTTCAAGACCCGCTTGGATGCGGTGCTGTGCCACGTGCTCTAGGTGACCCTGCATGTGCAGGGGGGTTGGACTAGATGACCTCTAGAGGTCCCTTCCAACCTTAAGCATTCTATGATTCTATGATTCTAAAACATGCCAGAGAGGGCAAGTCACTGGGTGAGGGACAGCACGCTTCTTAGAGGGTTCCGTGCTTCTCTTCACCTGAAACAATAGGAGACCCTAAAATATTAGTGTAGAAATAGCACTAAAAGTGTCAAGTCTACCTTCTGCATTGTAGTTCATCCCCCACAATGTCTCTGTGTCCTCTTTTTGGCTCAGAACTTCACACCAAAAGAAATCCTATGACCCTTATGTGTTTAGCCATGCTCTTGTTCATGGAAGGGGGAATTACCTTGGATTTAATCTTGTGACAAATTGCAGCCTACGCACTATAGACACACCATAAAGGTTGTGGAGATGAAGCTGGGGATATTTGTGAAACTCAGAGACTGTGTCTAATGCATAAACTTGACTTTTCACTAAAATCCGTCTCCTGATGGGACGGATGTTAATGTCTCAGCACATATTTAGGAGGTCTTCGCTCTAGGGAAAAGATGAGCGTCCTCTACAGTGCTTCCAGGGCTGTGTTGTACCTCTTAGCTCATACTTTTTTTGCTGACAGTGCATAGGGTTTATCAGTGTCAGCATGCCCAAAAACCTTAGTGCCAGCATACCTGAAGCCTGGTCCCTTCAGAGGTAATCTTTTAGCATAAAGAAAGAATTCAAGCTGAGGTGGATGTCAAAAACATCTGGTGGCCACGTTCACTGCCTACAAGGCTTGTTCCTAACACAGTCATTCTAAAAGCTGTTAATTCTTGCATACTCCTTGCACAGCATTAGTATAAAACTGTAGGCCAAGATGTGCTGCAGCAGGAAACCCATGTGTTTCCTAACTCCCCATCCAGAATAGACCAAATTATATTAAACAATATAGAAAATATAAATAATCTTATATTAACCTGTAACATGCGGCATCCCTATTTGAACATTCATAGAGCAATGGGACAACTCTGTCAATTTACAACTTTGAGCTTCCCTGTGGAAAGGTTGTGCATTTCTTCCTGTCCCCCAAACTCAGTAGCATATTAGCCATTCTCTCATAAATAATACGTGCTGATGCAGACCCTGCAAGACCCCTGTTAGGGTGATTCTGTGCCTCATGACATTGCTAGCAACCACATAGTGGTTTTAAACAGGATTTGTTATGTCCCAATCTTGTTTTCAGATTTACAGCCGACAAATTCAGAAGTCCTGCGCTTGGTGAATGGCCCAAATAAGTGTGCTGGGAGGGTTGAGGTGTTTCACAACCAGCAGTGGGGGACGGTGTGTGACGACAACTAATGCCGAGCCAAGCCTTTGGGCCAACATGGATGTAATCACGTGGAAGATGCCAGCGTTACGTGCGTAGGTGAGCTTCGTCTCCTGCTTTCGCTGCACAAAGATAAAACCCCAATTTTCTGCAAGATGCAGCCTTGAAGTAATAATTTTGGTGCCCAGAACTGAATAAATCCCTGAGTAGCAAGAAGTCAGAGGCTGGGAGATTATATCCTCAAACCATTTCCTTACTCTTTCCTTGGCATCCACAGCTGGCTACGAGCAAAGGCCAAAAACAGTGCAGACAAGGCGCAAGCTTTCTTACTGTATTTTGACCTTTTCTCCAAGCAGTGTGTCCTTCAAATAGATACATGTGTTTTCTCCTGTTCCTACCCCTGAACTAGTGGGCAACCAATATGTCATATTCCCTCAGGCTGCAGCTGGTTAAAGGGATCTTTCATTGCCCCTTCTACCCTGAAAGCAGATGTGCAGTCCCTGCAATGCTGCAGAACTTCTCTGAAAGCTCTGGGTGTCAACACCATCCAAACCCATTGCAGACATGTGCTGCATTCTCCAGCCTAGCAGGCACAAAGATGTACAAGAATATTCCTAACAATGCGTATTTCTGTGTGTTTTTCAGGAGCAGGAATTTCCAAAACTTCTAAGCTTCGGCTGGTGGGCGGTAGGGATAACTGTACCGGGAGAGTCGAGGTGTTTTATAACCATGAGTGGGGAACGGTCTGTGATGATAACTGGGATATGAATGATGCCATGGTGGTGTGTCGGCAGCTGGGCTGTGGGATGGCAGTTTCAGCCCCAGGTTCGGCTCATTTTGGATGGGGATCCTACCGTATCTGGCTGGATGATGTGAACTGCAATGGAACAGAAACTGACCTCTCTGAATGCAAAACAAAATCTTGGGGCGTCCACAATTGCCACCATGGAGAAGACGCCGGTGTGGTGTGCCTAGGTGAGACCTGCTAGGGGACAGCAAGAGGAAGCCTCACAAGCAGAGCTCCATGTGGTGTCTAGGACAGGGTTATAGGTCTCTCTAGAAGAGATGCTGTGCATGCAGCTAGCCTAGGAGTGCTCTCCTTGCAGCTGTCTACAATTTGTGTCTCATGCCCCTGGTCTTCATTACAGTGTGCAGCACCCCAAACCAGATTTCCTATCAGGCAAATGAGTGGTCTGTTCCCTCAACAGAAGGGACATAACAATGTTTTTGTCATTCATGCTGTGCCTGACCTACTCTGTACTCCCATCCAGGGGAGTATTCACATGTCATGGTTAAATGAAATGGGATGGCAGTGAGTCCTTAGAGTCCCTTCTGCCACTTCTGAGGAATTTATTTACAGTGACCATTATGATCTCTCCAAAAGCAGAAAAAACGAGCTCAACTGATCTGCGACTAGTGAGTGGCCCAAATCGCTGTGCCGGGAGAGTGGAAGTCCTTCACAAGGAGCAGTGGGGAACGGTGTGTGATGACACATGGGACTTGCATGATGCCACGGTGGTGTGCCAGCAGCTGGGCTGTGGGAGGGCCCAGTCAGCCCCCACCGGGGCTCACTTTGGCCAAGGCTCAGGGCCCATCTGGCTGGATGACGTGAGCTGCATCGGGACAGAAGATGCCCTTTCCCAGTGCAGATCCCGCCCGTGGGGTCAAAATAACTGCAACCATGGAGAAGATGCCAGTGTGGTGTGCTCAGGTAACCCACAGTCATGCACAATCTCATCCTAAGACTATCTTCAGGCATGTAAAGGAAAAGGAGATGATGAGGAGTAGTCAGCATGGATTCAAAAGGAGAAGTTGCGTTTGACCAACCTCATAGCTTTGTAGGATGGGATGACTGTCTCGATGGATGAGAGGAGAGCCGTGGATGTTGTACCCCTTGATGTCAGCAAGGCTTTTGACGCCGGCCTCCCTATCATCCTCATAGGGAAGGTCAAGAAGAGCAGATTAGATGAGTGTGTAGTGAGGTGGGTTGAGAACTGTCTGGATGGCAGAGCTCAGAAGATTGTCTGAGTCTAGTTGAAGTCTCCCAAGAGTTTGACATGTGCCCAGTGCCCTTCAACTTGTTCATCAATGACTTGGATGAGGGAACAGAGTGCACCCTGAGCAAGTTTGCGGATGATTCCAGACTGGGTGGAATGGTCAACACTCCCGAGGGCTGTGCTCCCATTCAGAGAGACCTAGACAGGATGGAGAGTTGTGCAAAGAAGAACCTCATGAGGTTCAATAAGGACAAGTGCAGGGTCCTGCACGTGGGGAGA